GAATCCCTTGGCTGTGCCACATGGGTGCCATGGTGTTGTCCCCTGTAACCCTGAAGGTCAGGATCTCTGTTGCAATAAAGGCAGCAGCAGAACTCAAGGGTCCTGGGGAATTCTCTGGAATTACGAGTGGGGACTCAGCCACCATCTAATGACTGCCTTTCCCCCTCTCTTTTCTCTCCAGTAACTGCTCTGTCAGGAACTACCACCCAACTAGCCCAGCTCTTGCACAGGCTACTGTCTCTCTTTCCCACCTGTGCCTTACATGTTGGGTCCAACCCAGACACTAGCACAGCTTCACTGTAACAGGCAGATAAATCCCAGCAAACACACTGGCCCAAGACTAATTTAAGGAGAGCTCCAATCCCATACTGCTGCTCCCAAATGCCTAGGAGTTCTTAAAACTGACAATTCTGCTCGGCTGAACACAGAACTGAGTCCTGGTATGGTCAACAATGCAACACAGGGCAGCGCAGCTCACAGCTCCAGCTCCCCAGCACCCAGCAGCCCACAGCGCCGGCCGCCATCAGACAGCAGAGCAGGTGAGCTGAGTCAGAGCTGGAGAAGACAGACAGGTGGTGATCATGTGTGGCCATGCCGCTCACAGTGCCAGCTCCTATGGTCACCTGCAGAGGTGTGGCTGAGGCTGTCACCGGTGTAGTACACACCCACCAAGAGGATAAGAAAAGGGTGACGACTCATGGAAGAGAGGTCTCGGGGGAGAGCAGGCCTGGCCTCTCATGTAGCTCTGAAATGGCTTCACAAACCAAGGAAAGGAGCCTGGTCCCGGTGTTCACTCACTGTGGGTGGAGGGTGGGACCGAGGCAAAAATTCTTGCCCAAGGACAGAAGCGTGTGTGGCTGGAACACCCTGCCACCTCTAGAAGGGAGGCCACCCAGACTTCTCATCAGCTTGTCCAGGTCAGGGCACAAGGGGAAGAGGGAGGTGTTAAAAAGAAACAGTAGGCCCCAGATGGAGTCATTTGTGCTAAGCCCATGTCACCAAACCAAGACTTAATACCTAACCTAACTGCAAATACGACCTCCCCTAGGAATGTCATCTTAACCAATCTGGAATTTTCTGGTCAACACCAACGAGGTAATCTGCCACATAGGTTTTTCCTTTTTAAAAAAAATATGTATTTATTTGGCTGCGCTGGGTCTTAGTTGCAGCATGCCAGATCTTCGTTGCAGCATGTGAACTCTTAGTTGTGGCATGTGGGATCTAGTTCCCCGACCAGGGATTGAGCCCAGGGCCACTGCATTGGGAGCACTGAGTCTTAACCACTGGACCACCAGGGAAGTCCCCACATAGGTTTTTTTCTGTCCCTCAAAGAAAGATGAGATAATCCACTCTTTCCTTACCTCTTCCCCCTTCTGCCCATCTAAGCCTTCCATCTGGACACCTCTCTACTTGCTAGATGCGATGCTGTCCAATTCACCACCAATCACTTAATAAAGCCAATAAGACCTTTAACATTTATTTAGTTGAATTCTTGTTATTTTAACAGATTGGTGAGGCTTTAACTGTGAGCAAACATCAAAAAATGCGGAGTCTGGGGACTTCCCTGGCAGTCCAGAGGTTAAGACTTCATGCTTCCACTGCAGGGGGGCACAGGTTCAATCCCTGTCGGGAGCTAAGATCCCACAAGCCGTGTGGTGTGGCCAAAAAACAAAAAGAAAGATATGCATTTGCAATTGCTTCCTTTTTTTTTTTTTCTTTTTTTTTTTTTTGCGGTACGCGGGCCTCTCACTGTTGTGGCCTCTCCCGTTGCCAAGCACAGGCTCCGGACGCGCAGGCCCAGCGGCCATGGCTCACCGGCCCAGACGCTCCGCGGCATATGGGATCCTCCCAGACCGGGGCACGAACCCGTGTCCCCTGCATCGGCAGGCGGACTCTCAACCACTGCCCCACCAGGGAAGCCCACAATTGCTTCCTTTTTGATAAAGAAAACACCAAATCAAGATGCTCAAGAAATGATCAATACTGGTTATTGGGGGTGGCTGAACCAAGAGCACTTGAGGGGCCAGGGTGTTCTGGAGTGAGTCTACTTTAGATCTTTTTTTTTTTTTTTTTTTTT